AAAAAACAGCCTTGCTCTGAACCACATAGATATTTATAGTAGTATTTTTAGAATTCTTAGGCTTTGGGATAAAGCTTGAATTGTCCCTAAATTACCAGCAATTCCAAAACTGTAGTTCTGTGACAAAGAGATACTGGTGGGAGAGTGGGGGGGACAACATGTTTCATCAACAGGTGTTCTGTGTAGCTCTGGAAAGGAACATAGAAGGCGTTTAGTCTAATTCCTTGAACTAAAGAAAATGGATTCTCCTGGGTCAGCACTGCAAACATGTTGGTTTGTTTTAAGATTTTTGTGTACAACAAAGTGAAAGGGAATAACAGCAGTGATATAGGATAAAGTTATTAATAGAAATATAATGGTTTCAGCAGGCCTTCAAGGAAAGAAATTTGCTCATCCATCTGACTTAGAAAAGAGTTCTATTTTCATCAGCTACAATAGTCAATTATATCCTGTTTGTGTTTAAGAACTCCAGTAAAGAAAATAAAAGATAGTGTTTAAATATTTACTTTTTAATGTTTTACAATACTCTTGCTAGCATTTTAGCATTAGTATTTAGTATTTTAGAAAATCAATGAAAGCAGCAGCAAAAAAAGGGGGGGGATGGAAGTGATCTATCCTTTTTCCATGGCCCTTTAATTTTTCACTGATACGTGTTTTCTGCATTCTTTTGTTTCAGCTGACTGGAATTATTCAAGCCATGGTGGATGGACAGCCTAGTCTTCAGCAAGTGCTTGAGGTAAGCAGAACAACCTTTCGTTCCTGACCCCTGACCCTATTTCTCCCTTCTCCCTTCTTCTTCCTGTGTATTGAACCACATAATTTGACTATGATTACAGCTTCATTAGAATAACATTTGCTGTCACATCAGTGGCATGCTGTTGTGAATATTGAACCATTGATCTGTCATTTCCAGCTGTTCGTGTCAAAGGTGTTCAACTCTTGCCAGAAGTCATGAGGGGAGGCATATGTAGGAGGAATTCTCTTACTGGAGATGGTCTTCAGTGTTACATTAACAATACTGCATGGAAGAGAATAGATAATATACATATCAATTTAAATATTTAGTAATAAACCATTTTATATAAGGTGTCTGAATATAGGACATAGTCTTAATAATGCCATTTGCTTAATGTAGCATCCTTTAAACGTTTAAAGCTTAATTAGCTGAAAGTATTTTCACAATCAATAGCTTTTGGTGTTTGGTCTCTGTGAATGGAATTCTTCAAGAGGTGAATCCTACCTGACTATGGTGTGATGCTTTGCTCCCTTCAGGATTTGGGCCTAATAGTTCTTGATCAAGATAATTGCAACCACAGCTGCGTGAGGAAATCTGATTAAAGGCTGAAGTTGCATTCCCTTGCTTCAGTGATAATATGGAATTGCTTGGTGAAGGGAAAAGAGACAGCTGGGTATCCTGAATGACATTCAATAGTGAGCCTTCCTCCCTGCTCCACTGGGATCTGCTTCAACTCATCTTGGGGAGAAGGCCTATCTTTTATCTTCTCATTAATAGGGGAACTAACCTTAATAGTTTGTTCACAACCCATGGGATCTCATTCCTTCATCAGAGCTATGAACAAAGCCCAAGAGGACTCTGCCTCCTGTTAATTTAGTTAGTACTCATGCTGTAATACAGTTCAATACAAGGCAGAGAAAGGAACTTATATATTTTGGCCTATACAGAATAAATATACTTTTTACTATTGTATGGAAGGGCAATGCCAATTTATTATGGTGGCATTTGAAAATTTGAAACTGTAACAAAGGGTTGATGCCCTCTGTAAAATACAGAAAACTGTATTACATTGACTGTAATATCATCACTCAAGCCATTGTTCCATCTAGTTCACTGCTTATTGTCTATACTGACTGGCAGGATTTTTTTCAGGGTTTCAGCCATGAGTTTTTGCCGGTCCTACCAGGAAGTATCAGGATTGAAATGCATGTTCTACCACCGAGCTATAGCCCTATAGATCATCCCTCTTAATAAATGTATGTTGCACCCTGAACATCTTGTACATTGAATCATGTCTTAATTTATTATAATTCTTAGTTGCCTAGAGTTTTATGATTTTGGCAGTGTATAAATCTTTAAAATAAATAAGTAATTCAACTTTTTCTCCTATATCAATGGTTTCTAAAATTAAATCACAGAGAAAAGGTATCCAGAATAATGACTGAACTTTTAGTGGCATACATAGCTACTTGTTCTTTCCCAGCATGAATATAGGTCTTCTTCTAATAATATCGTTCCCTTTCCCCCATTTGACACTCTTTTATTCAGTAAACCAATTAAAAAGTGGCTCTGCTTTTCCATTACTATTATTATAATCCCTGTTAACTGAGTATCTTTTAATAATGGTTATATTAATTAAATAGGAAAACTTTTTTTTCCCCTTTGAGCAGGCATTTGCACTGTTTTTATTAATTATGTGCTGTCAAGTCAGTGTTGAAATCTTAGCGACCACACAGATAGTTTTTCTCTGTGACAATCTCTCTTTAACCTGGTCTTTCAGGTCTTCCAACGGCGCTGCTACTGTAACTGAGTCCACCCACTTTGCAGTTGCATGTCCTCTTCTTCTCTTTCCTTCTACCTTTCACAGCATCAGAGCCTTCTCTGGAGAGTTAGGATTTGCACTATACCACAAACTATTTTAAATTCCTCTTGGTTTCAAAAGGATTTGTGACATGACGTAGAAAAGTAGCACAATTCCCAAAACTTCCTTTTAGTATGCAGAACTAGTAATGTAATTCTTTAAAACCAGGGCATAATAACTTGTTTTGGTAGCTGAACTGGTAAATATGTCATTGCATTTCTTGGAGTTTTCTTCATAATTTATCTTGAAATATGCAGATATGAATAAACTAAGTAATCTGCTTCATGTTGCAAGAAAATATGGAAAGTTGGTTTAGTTATTCCAGTAAAAGTGGAATTTAGCAGAATAGTTTGGCACAGTGCATTCTTAGTTAAACTATATTGGACACTGAAGCAGAAAATAAGAAACAAATGACATTCTTTTGAGATTATAATATATAGGGACCCATGATAAATAGAAAATATATAAAGGGGCCTTTACACTTGTGAGCTGCAGTGCTGATGGTATGTTTTTGTCAACCCTTTGAGGTAGGCAGGTCAGGAAATAAAAACCACAAGAAAAACTAGAATTCTATTTGCTGATACAGACTGTAGTAGAAGAATCTTAGAAGACTGATAGCCTTCCCTCCCCTTTATACAAAGAGAATCAAGGTGGGGCAATCTGGAGTTTCTTTCTTAGGCTTTCCTGTTTTCCCAGGCTAAGCTCATGTTACTAATGGTTGCCTCATATTTTTTTCAAGGCCATCTCTGTATTTCTCTAGAGCTTGTTTTTCTGCTTGAAAACAATGTGTATAACAAATGTAGATACTTGGTGCTTGAGAAAACAGTAAGAAGGCTGGGACAGTGAGTGGCCACACTTCAGCTCATAAAGCTTTCTTGGAGAAAATTTAGGAAATGCTACAGTATGGGAAACTACTTGCCACAAGAAAGAAAAAAGCAATGCAATAGATTTAGACCAGGAATGGGCAACTGTTTTTGGTTTGGGACCCAGATTTTGCTTTTGCATATTTTGTCAGTGATATCAGAGTGGGAAGGATTTAAAAGTAAACCTACATATATATGTGTTAGGAGGGTGGGGGTGGGTGGATTAAGGGACATACTAGATGTCAGAGGCTCTATTTTGCCTCTTATTCCCTTCCTTCCAAAAGCTTGGCCTGATTTTTATTTTTAAAGAAGCTTAATGGAAATCAAACTCCCCCAAAGAAAACCAAACTTAAATCTTCATTTGTTACTTCTACTCATTTCTGGAGGCTGCTGACCCCACATTGCTGGACTTTAGAAACAGGATTCAAGCTTTTGTACAAGAAACAAGTAAAAACTTCATATAAGGACTTGTGCAGGACTTAGAAGGAAGTGAGAGAATAGCTGTAGTGAGACCTATTAAACTACTCAATGAAAAATCTGGAAGAACAATTAACTCATAAAGTTCATGTTCTTCATTGTCTATATACTGAGAGTATACAATAAACAAGATGAATTTGAACTTTTAATACAGGAAGACAAATATGATGAAAGATGTAACTAAGTCCTAGTAGGATAATTCTCATGTTTGAAATATATAATTCAAGGATACAGCTTGGGTTCACAGGGAACAGAAGCAATAAGAAGAGAAGAATTATACAATATGCTAAAATATCTACACCTGCACAGAAATCCAAGTCAATGAACTCCCTGGAAATTGCTTTATATGAAGTGAGAATGAACTTCTGTACTATTGGAATTATAGTATACACTATTGATGCATTTGAAAGCATCTGGGTTATAATAAGCAGAAGAAGGTACATGGCCCACCTAGATAAGTCTTCCTATGAAGAGCAGAAGCTGGTGAGAATAAAAGGTTGGGTGACTAAAGTCCTGATAGAATTGTCTTCCACTCCTGTGACTCTGCAACCATGGACTTGACCCTGAAGCATGGATACAGCCACCAAACCTGTGGGAGCACAACTTTTCTAAGCTGAGCGCAGAGAGTGCAGAAAGGGAAAAGGACCGGATTGCTAAAAAGAATGTCTAATGTGAGGTTGTTTAAAGGTTGTTTGAAGAAGCTGTTGTTCCTTAATAGGCCAGCAACCACAATCTAATCTAAATAGTACCAGCTCAGTTTTCCTTGAGTGGAAGTAAGAGTTTCTTAGATAAAAGGATTTCTTTGGGCTAAGTTAGACCCTGAAACTATATCTATGACAATCAGATATGGATTGCCAGGGAACCAATAATTCTGTGATTACTCAGATAATCTGCCCTTTGCTAAAACTTCAACAATGTTTGCTATTTAAAGCAAATCTTGCTATAGATACTGAACCCCTTTACCTTGAATCTTGGGTTGGAACTTAATCATAACCATTCTGTAAATCCTTAACAGTGGTTTTTGACCCATGATTTTTTGATGGTGCCTCTTATATTGTTGTGTGAGACTTAAGGCAAGGAGAAGTTGTGGATGGTACTTTCCAAAGTCAAATCTCAGATAGTTCAAAAAGGCATCAGGTGCTAATGACTGGGGACTTGAATTACCCCAACATCTGCTGAGAAATATTCTGCCAAGCATGGTCTCACCAAGAAATTTCTGGTTTGTCTTAACAGCTAATTTCTTTAAAGGAGATAGATGGAGGAGTTCTAAGGTAATTAGCTATCCTTGATTTGATCCTAACCAATAGGAATGATCTAGTAGGTAAAGCGGGAATAGCAGGAACTTTGGAGGAAAAAATGGCTATGCAATTCTGGAATTATTGATTGAAGGAAAAATAAAGCTGAGCATAATCAATATAATTTGGACTTCAAGAAAGCAGATTTTATGTTTATTTATTAAATTTAATAAAATCAGAGTATATAGAGTAGGATTCCATGGCAGCAGAAGCTAATGGGAAAAGGTTGCTCAAGGTGGATGGGAGACACCAAAAGAGGCTCTAAAAACACAATCACAAATATTTCCAAAGGAAAAAAATACAGGACACCAGAAGTTGACCATGTAGAACATTTAATGAAGATCTGAAAATACAAAAGGGTTTGTATAAGAGATGGAAAGAGGGACAGGTCATCCACAAAAGGGAATACAGACAGCCCTGATTCATAATGAGTTCAGGTTAGCAAAAAGATACTTTTCAGTTGTGCTTAAAATAAAAGGAAGGGGAAAGAAACAGCACACCAAT